ACAGGGTATTATGTCTTTGTGCATATGTTTGTAACAGGCAAAAGGAAACGAGAATGATGTACCACGCCATTGCTGACAAATAAAATAGCAAGCAAAAACTTCACAACTTACCGAACTCAATGTAAGTTTGTATGTGTTGTTGTTATTGTTTACTCAATGTAAGTTTGTATGTGTTTTTGTTATTTTATACTAGAAACCTTCACCACATATAAATAGGGGAAATGGAAAGACAGTGAATGAGTTGTGAATGAATTGTCGAGTAAAGTAAAGTGCAAAGTAAAGTTGTGTGAATAAAATCATTGTAATAATCGTAATCCGAAAGAACCCGCGTTTTATTTGGGGATTCAGTAAAATCCAAGAACGTAACAATATGTTTGTAACAGGCAAAAGGAAACGAGATAGACATGGTTCCTTTTAAGAATATGCATAGAATCACTTTCTGAGCCGATTTATGCATGTCCGTCTGTCCGTCTGTAGATGTTAAATTGTAAACAAAGTACAGGTCGTATTTATGAGTGGCACAAGTCACTTATTTGGCCCAAGGACGAACCCTATTGAAATTGGGAAAAATCGGTTCACATTTAAATATAGCTCCCATATATTTTCGTCCGATTTAAGGTAAATGGGGAACCAAAGACCCTCTATATCCTTCGATTTGCATGAAATTTGGCACAGAGTACTGAATTAGGTCCAGAATGATGTGTGCCAAGTTTCGATAAAATCGGTTCAGATTTAGATATAGCTCCCATATATAGTTTCGTCCGATTTACGGTAAATGGGCACCAAAGTCCCTCTATATCTTTAGATTTGCATGAAATTTGGCACAGAGTACTGAATTAGGTCCCGAATGATGTGTGCCAAGTTTCGAGAAAATCGGTTCACATTTAGATATAGCTCCCATATATTTTCGTCCGATTTAAGGTTAATGGTGCACCAAAGTCCCTATATATCTTTCGATTTGCATGCAATTTGGCACAGAGTACTGAATTAGGTCCAGGATGATGTGTGCCAAATTTCGAGAAAATCGGTTCAGATTTAGTATAGCTCCCATATATAGTTTTGTCGATTCTATGTAAATGGTGCATCAAAGTTCCTATATACCTTTCGATTTGCATGAAATTTGGTACAGCGTACTGAATTAAGTCTAGAATGATGTTGCTAAGCTTCGTGAAAAGATCCATAGCTAGGCCGATTGACACAACGTACTGATGTAATATAAATTAGTCTGTGGCAAGTTTCCCTGGAATCGGTTCAGATATATTCTACATATGTTAGGATACATATCGCTGGTTTAACTTGTAAAGGCGGCAAGTCCATATTTCACAATTTTTCAGGAGAGACAAAAAACAATCGAACTGTCTGTTGAATAGAGATTTTTTAAATGTGTAAATGCATTTTTTTTTTGTATTGTATGTGTAATTTAATTGCGTAAAGGCAAAATGAACAAAATAAGTATTTGCTGAGATACACGCCTTTTTTGGGACTTATAGCTTTTTCTGTCGCTAAGTTTGCTTGTTTTAATGGACTTAGGTCTTTTTCTTACAACTTGTCTATCATTATATTTTCTAATTACCGCAATAATTTTGATTTTTTACATGTTAATATTATCTAAAAGAGTAAAGATTGTTTTGGAATAATAATTCATTCACAAATATGAAAAAAAACAAGTAAAAACGTCGCTATTTTGGCCGATCGAATATTGGGGATAACGTTATATGGGCGGTACCCTAAAAAGTGTACCAATATTGATAAGTTTTTGTCAGAAGGTGAGATACCCCATAAGTAACTAAAATACCAAATTACAATCAATTCGGCTGAAAATCATGTCCAAAATCTTCAAAATAAAAAGTGGACTTACAGCCTTGGCATGATGTTAAGCCAGCGACAACAATAACAAATCAGATAACTCTATATTTATTTTTTTAGATCGATGTATTTGGCCTTTTTATACATAACTGTATCAAAATCTTAATTTCTCGAAAATTGGACTTGTTGCCTTTACAAGTTAAGCCTGCGATATGTAGAATATACCCAAAGTGGTGAAGGGTATCATATAGTCGTCCAAGTCCGACTTTACTACTTTCCTTACTGGTTTTGATTTCGGTATATTTACTTTTCTCACTGTCTCAGGATTCACATCAATCATCAGTTTGTTTTTTACCACTGTGAGTTTTGGACAGGTAAGGTGAGAATCCTCTTAATACGATTTAACTACGCTTGCATCTATGTTTGTTGAAATCACGATAGAGATCGCAATATTTAAAATAGAGCTGTGAAATTTTGCATATACAGAGCCACTCCTAAGATTTATGGCTTCTAAATACATTGCTATATATTTCGTGGTTTCAAAAGTAAACGTAAATATAAAACATTTTTTCGTGAAAAAAGTATACGAATCGTCATATCTCAACTAGCTGAGTCTATATAGTTCTGAGTCGTTTAATTTGAAAGTGGTTTAAGTCCACTCCTATTTTTGTCTGTTTTCCTGGTGACTCTAGAAGCCACAATTATGACCCGAACATCGAAATTTTATGCAGAGAAAGGGATCTGACTATGGAATAAGCCTGACCGGTCAATATTTAGGCGCCCAATTTATACAGACTACATCCAAGGGAAGTGTTTACCCTTAATTTGCAGCCATTCCACGTATCTAAGAATTTATGAATGGTTACCTGGTTTCAGTTTTTGCGTGAGTTGGAATTTATAGGGATGCAGGCGTAGATACGCTTTCTTAAAACAGCCCTAATCAACGACAAATCTACACACTTTCACTTACATCACAGATAATTTCAGCGAAACGATGATAAACTGGGTTAAAATATTTGTAACCGTTACAGTTTTTTTTTTTCACATCAAAACGTCGCTTCCTCTAAAAGGAATCTCCACCCCATTCATGATTTTAAATGTTAGCGATTTTCAAACATCTGTTCGTCCGTCCATGTATTCTTGTGAACATTTACAAGTCACATACTTGACCCATGGACCCTATTGAAATTGTAGTAAATGGATTCAGATTTACATATAGCTCCAATGTATATTTTCTTCCGATTTTGTACACCATACTCCCAATATTTGTCGGATTTCTACCAAATTGTGCATAATGAATTGAATTATGTCCAGGTTGATGTCTGTAAAAGTGTATTGAAATTGGTTCAGATTTAGATATAACTCCCATATATTATATATTTTCACCCGATTTTATGTAAATGATGCACCGGATTCCCAACGATTGTGCGATTCAGACGAAATTTTGGGTCTAGAATAACTTATGTTGAGTTTTGTAGAAATTTGTTCAGATTTAGATATAGTTTCCATATATTTCTTCAATTCTATGTAAATGGTGCACCAAATTGCCAAGAATTTTGCATAACGTATTGAGTTTACCCCAAAAGGGTGTCAAGTTTTATTGAAATTGGAAAAATATACATATTTAGAAATGGGTACCAAACTCCAAAAAGTTTTGTCCGATTGGGAAGAATGACGGGTGTTAAGTTCAGATTTAGATACAGCTCTCATATATATGCTCTTTAACGAAAACTGCACACAAAACTCCCAAGGTTTTTCCGATTGATACCGTATTGAGAAAGAGATTCAAAGGAAACCATGTGTCTATCGCGTTTCCTCTTGCCTGTTACAAACATATGCACAAAGACATAATACCCTGGTGAAGGGTATAAATAAGATGTATCGAATTTCTATCTGTGACCCTTGGCCAAATGGAATGAGATAGACCCATTTCTTAAACGGATAGTGACTGGAGATGAGAAATGATCACATACGATAACACTGTGCGAAAACGATCGTCGTCAAAGAACAGTTAGGCACCTCAAACGGTGTCCAAACCAGGACTAATTGTCTGTAGGTTCTGCCATGCTTTTGGTGGGACTGAAAGGGGATTATTAATTATAAGTTGCTTCCATATGGCCAAATGTTAAATTCTGATCTCTACTGTCAACAACTGGACCGTTTGAAGATAGCAATTGACCAGAAACGACCAGAATTGGTGTCGTGTTCAACCAGGACAACGCTAGGTCACACATCTACAGTGACTCGCCAGAAACTTCGGGTGCTTGGTTGGGAAGTTTTAATGCATCCGCCTCAGTCCGGATTTTTCTTAATAATAAAAAATTGTTATCTAAGGAGGATTGTGAAAATCGACTACTGGAGGTTTTGGCAAATAGAGAGCAGGACTTCTATGATAGAGGCAAGTTACATTTTAAATGACAACAAATCATACAACAATACGGTGCATATTTGGCCCAAATCGCACATTCCCAAGCATGTTAAAAAAAAGTCCTATAGTTCATATAAAAATAAAAGATTTATTTTTCCCCAACCTAATATTTTTACGACAAAATTTCGAACAGCATACTGAAATAATTTTAAAGACATGTTTGGTTTTAAAAGGTCCAAATCCCTATGTGTGCTCGATTGAGCATCCTGAAGAAATTAGATCAATTAATGAAAACTCGATGTATGTACATGTAGGATCAAAATTATTCTGATCGTTCTTTTTAGAGATACTAATAGTATTTTCAATAATCTTAGTTTTCTCGTCGTTATTTAACATAATGACACAACCAATGTGGGTGACCATGAGAGGAATATTTAAATTCTCAATTATACGTTACCAATTGTAACCTTCTATACATTTTATACGAATTCTTCGTGCTATAAAGTCATTGAATTAGTATTGTGATTGGTATCTTGAAACGTCAAGTTTTTGATTAACAACGTTGTCGTTTGATATTCACAATATACTTTATTCACGCGGTTGTTGATAATCTTGCAATAAAATAAGAATTACCTTACATATCGGTGTATGCTAATATGACTTGATTGCATGCTACTTCTTTAGCATGCAATCAAGTCAAATTTCCCTAAGTCATAGTACCCATAAATTGGCACAAGGCAAATGCAAACGAAAACACATGATTTAGATTTCAAATACATTTATTTAAAAATTCAAGCCTTTCATTACAGTTTAGCATGGCATGTTTTTATTTCTTCTTACGTTCATCATCCTCGTCATCATAATCATCTTCATCGGATTCGTCATCATGTTCATAGGGTGCCACATTGACATCATATTCACGTGCAGTCAAACCAAATCCACCATCCAGGGAACGAGCAGCAGCTGCAGCACCTGGAGGACCAGCAGGGCCGGCGGGACCGGGTGGTCCTGGTGGACCAGCAGGACCACGTTCACCGGGATAACCACGTCTTCCGCGACGACCAGGTGGACCAATGGGACCAGGAATGCCAGTACGACCGGAAGAACCACGTTGACCCTTAGGGCCGGGAGGACCATGACGTCCGGGTAAACCTTCGGGACCTTTGTCACCTTTCTGACCCTGGGGACCAACACTGCCAGGAGGACCGGGAGGTCCTGGTGGCCCCGGTTGGCAAACACATTGTGGCGTGGGTAAAACTACAGCGGGTTGCTGGCGTACACCCAGGAGGGCACGCTGTTCACCAACATCACTGAATTTTTTGGCACAAACCAAAATCAATAGGCCCAAAAAGACTGGAAATAAAGAAGGTATGAGTAAAACAAACAAAATTATTTATTCAAAAGTACAAATACCCAAAAATTGTGTTAAACTCAAACTGCTCATTCTACAAATCAATGATGGATTGAGAACTATGCTCCAATCACTTGAAACAAGTTGCTTAAATACGCTTCTTCACTCACCTACTAATACGGATTCATTTAATGTTAATCGTAAAAGTTTTTTGATTCCCTTAATAAGATTGCTATCTCTTAACTATGGACAGAAGCTCAAAGGTGTTAAAATTTTATTCCTCAGTTTATTGCAAATGATTAGGCAAATTTCTCCATGGGTCATAGTCATAATATGTAAATTAACTACATAAATACTGAATAAAATGTTGGCATAGAATTTAGTCTAATTTCAGTCATGAAGACCATAACTCTGTTATTTTTAGGTATTTACATATCTAACAAAATAAATGAATCAATTCAATTTTAAACACTTCGTTATATTTTTAGTTATCTACGTTGCGTTGGCCACATCCCAATACATACGCGTTGGGCCACCAGGACCACCGGGTCCTCCTGGACCACCCGGAGCTCCGGGACCTAAAGGTGAAACTGGCGATCGTGGTCCACCGGGTAGAACTGGTTTACCTGGCCCACCAGGTCCTCGTGGTAAACGTGGAAGAACAGGACCAGCCGGACCAATTGGTCCCCCAGGATTGCCTGGCCAACGTGGTCCTCGCGGTTACGAAGGTGAACGTGGACCTGATGGACCACCTGGCCCAATTGGTCCCACAGGACCGCCTGGACCAGATGCAGCTGCTGGTGGGACCGGTGCTGGCACTGGAGCAGGTGCAGTAGCAGTCAGAAGACGTATTCGTGGCCGTAGCTATGATTTGTAAAGCGGATTTAAAAATTAAAATAAAAATATTGGAAATAATTTAAATGTGGTTTTACTAACTTGGAGATAAAACTAAATATACAGTAGGCGGCTATTGAAATTACTTAAGTTGTGCAAAGGTTAGTTTTGACCTTTGCACACTACCAGAAGTAGTTAACGGATGGGTTCCATTTTCTAAATTGAATTAATTTTGAAAGAAATATTACAATGTGCATATTTGGCATCAAATCGGATATTCCATACTACAGATTTTTGACACCTTGTGGGTAGATACAATAAGGAGTGAACCGATAAGTTTCATTTAAATATTATGTTGTAAAAAGTTTGGTATGAATCGGTTAATAATATCGCAATATATTATAAAATTAATTATTAGCACAATGTTGACAATTTTGTGGGAGCAATGTACAAAAAGGAGTGGACCGATAAACTAAGTTTGGTTACTCCCTTCGAGAGTTATCGTGTGCACCAGCCGGCCAGACTGACGGACGGGCATTTGTAAATCGACTCCAAAATGTCTAAAACGGATTTACTCCAAAGAAACAAGGGGTCTAAAACCAATATTTCTATTAGTCACATTTTTGCCGTTGCAGAGTGTATATACCCTCATCTGTCATATGGTTGAGGCTCGAACTAATATTTATAGACACTACATAAAAATGTGTTACATATTTGTTCGAGGATGTTTTGACCGATCCAAGTTCTTTAATGGTAATTGCAGAGAAGTTGTTGGAAAAACACCTCTTGGATTAAAAATGCAGCTATGTCCTTCAAAGTAATCAAAATGGAGGATACCTATCTACTCTTTAGGAACTCAATATGTTAGACGACCAGTGTTACGTTGAAATTTTTTCCAAACTAAAAGTATTCCAAAAATGTTTCAAAATCGACTTTATTAAATGAACAAGTAACAAAGATGTTATGTTCGCCGGCCCAAAAATCTTGTTAGTACTGATACTTTATTATTTAGGCATGTCCATTTATAAAATTTACGGCATAGGGATGTATACATTTATAAGTCCAATTTCGATGGAACTATATTATACTGCTGCGACTTTCGATGTAATGAATTATGGGCGCGATAATGATATGGGCGATAAGTAGGGTGGATTTGCCGGTGCACAACTGTAATTTGACACCCTTTTTTATGACCTTTTGCTTCCCACGAAAACTTGGGTGGTCTTTTGCTGCTAATATAAACAAAGAGTGTATTTTAATGTTCTTTTGCTGCTAATATAAACAATGAGTGTATTTTAATGTTCTTTTGCTTCCTGAAAAAGCTCCTCCTTAGTTTTGGCTCCACAAATAAGATGTTTATGCTGTGGATCTTTTTCGATTCCCACCATCACAGAGATTGTAGTTAACAAGGAATGATCGTGAGTTTGGTTCCTAATATAAACAATGATTGTATTTTAATGTTCTTTTGCTTCTTAATTAAAAAACGGGGGTGTAATGTGACACTCTTTTGCTTCCTAATATAAAAAACTCATTCATAATTTTTGGGCTCTACAAATTGATTATGTTGTTTACGCGTTATTTTTTACTCAGTGAATACCCTGTCCACTTGTCGGTCTCCACATCTTGGAGATTGTAGTTGTCAATAAATTATTGCGAACCTTCGGTTTGCAATACCGCATATTGTCATCCTTTTCCAAGCACTTGTTTATATTATTCGTATTTCAAAATATTGTGAAATTGTAACATGCGAAGACCGACGTGTGTGGCACACACACGTATGAAAAGCGCCTCCTTAGTTTTGGCTCCACAAATAAGTTGTTTATGGTGCGGATCTTTTTCGATGAATCCCCTACCCCCTCTACCCTCGTCTTCCCAACCATCACAGAGATTGTAGTTAACAAGGAGTGATCGTGAGTTTGGTTCCTAATAAAAACAATGATTGTATTTTAATTTTCTTTTGCTTCTTAATAAAAAAACGGGGGTGTAATGTGACACTCTTTTGCTTCCTAATGTAAACAACTTCTGCATAATTTTTGGGCTCTACAAATTGATTATGTTGTTTACGCGTTATTTTTTACTCAGTGAATCCCCTGTCCACTTGTCGGTCTCCACATCTTGGAGATTGTAGTTGACAATAAATTATTGCGACCCTCCGGTTTGCAATACCGCATATTGTCATCCTTTTCCAAGCACTTGTTTGTATTATTCTTATTTCAAAATATTGTGAAATTGTAACATGCGAAGACCGACGTGTGTGGCACACACACACACGTATGAAAAGCTCCTCCTTAGTTTTGGCTCCACAAATAAGTTGTTTATGGTGTGGATCTTTTTCGATGAATCCCCTACCCCCTCTACCCTCGTCTTCCCAACCATCACAGAGATTGTAGTTAACAAGGAGTGATCGTGAGTTTGGTTCCTAATAAAAACAATGATTGTATTTTAATTTTCTTTTGCTGCTTAATAAAAAAAAAAAACGGGGGTGTAATGCGACACTCTTTTGCTTCCTAATGTAAAAAACTTCTGCATAATTTTTGGGCTCTACAAATTGATTATGTTGTTCACGTGTTATTTTTTACTCAGTGAATCCTCTGTCCCCTGTTCGCTCTCCCCAAGTTAGAGATTGTAGTTGACAATAAAATGATTGGGAGCCTCCGGTTTGCAATACTGCATATTGTCATCATTTTCCAAGCACTTGTTTATATTATTCTTAGTTCAAAATATTGCGAAATTGTAACATGCGAAGACCGACGTGTGTGGCACACACAAAATTCTCATGGTTTTTATATTATTATTATTATTTTTGTTATATTCGAGTATTTTAGGAAATTTGTTTTTCACATACAATGTTTAAATCGAAAAATATAGCACGCTTTTAGGCTGGATATTCTATAAGGCTTAAAACGTTTAAAAGCCTAATACGAATTTACAAAATTATTCAGTGTTACAGAAGCATTTTAAAAAGCAACATGAATAATTTTGTAGGAGTTTCTGACATGGATGAAGTAACAGCTGTCTTCGAAATTATTAAATTCGAAGTCCGGGCAGATAAGCACCTCCTAAAAAATGGGGACTCATTAATAGATACTTTCATGGATGATGATGGTGTGGAGATAGCATTTGAAAATGCCAAAGATAGGCTTACAAATGCAAGTCAACAACATGCAGCGGATGAACTTATACCAGATGGTCAGGATCTAACAAGATTGAGCCCAAATGATCCATGGTTTGAGACCCTGAATGAAAACCATCTACGACCGGAGAAGCCAACAATAATTTCCAATGTTGTATTGCCGTCGTATCCTTCGATTGCGGACGAAGTAGATACCTTTGTCAAGGACCATTTAGATGCATTAAAAACTTTAATTGCTGCAGATACAGACAATAAATCTAAGATTGTAAAACAATTTATAAATGAAAATTATTAATATTTATTAATAAAAACACAAAGTATACGATTTATATGTCATTTATTTGGTTGTGATATTCCAGAGGCTTGGGAAATTTTGTTTACACTCACCATTTCAATGTATGTCAAGTTAAGTATTCAATGCATATGAATAAATGCTTACACATAAGAATTTGATTCGGAAAATATCGAAATGTTGAGTTCTGTTACAGAAAGGGCTTACAGTAACCTACAAGTACTTGATTTATCAACATCACACTTCTCTAAAAAAATTTTTTTTAAATAAAAATGGCTTCATACATTTGTGAATTTTGTCACATTTCCTTCACCATTAAGCGTGAATTTCTAAGCCATTTAAAGAAACATTGTGAAATTTGCGGAGTTTTTTTCAATAACCCTTACCAGGTAAAATTTCACCAAAAAAATCAAGGATGTTTACCTGTAACAACCCAAACGTCTACTTTTGTGAAACAAGAAAATCAACAATCTGATTTTAGTTCCAACACAAAGCAAAAAAGTGTGCAATTTAATAAAGAAAAAACACAACAATCTAAGAAATGTGAAAATCAAAAAGAAGTAAAGATCTGCAATGACTGCAATAAAGCTGTTCATAATATGTCGGCTCATGTTCGTAGTGATGACCATAGACGTGCTGTCCGCCAATCATTAGAAGAAAACATACAAATTGTTAAAAGTGCATTCAATAAAAACATAGTCACCTACGAATATGTGAACAACAGTAACATATTGATGCCAAACGATTTTTTGAACAATGCAAGGGAGCATTTAATTAAATTAATCGAGCTGAATTTAACAGCTAATCACCCCTCAATATTAAGTTCAATATGGAGCTTCAGGAAAGAAGGGCTTTACAAAAAATTGTGAAAATTGTACATCAAACCAACAAGTCTAAACATTAGAAACAATGATGAATATTGTTTCAAATGGTGTGTTTGTCTTCAACATTTCACCACAACAACTGCTTATACAAATCACAAGGATGAATGCGGTGGTGTAGTAACCACATTACCTGATGTTGAAGATAGCATCCTCAAATTTAAAAACCACCATAAAAAGGAACGCGTACCATTTGCCATTTATGCCGATGCTGAAAGCGTGTTGGAGTGTG